CCCCTGCCCACACCGTTCATCAGAGTAAGACAGCCAGGCCCTAACAAGCCAGGGGAGAGCCCTTCCAGAAACCCAGTGGGAGGCAAAGGTGGGTGCCCAGCAAGGCCGCCCAGTGAAATGTCACTGTTAGCTCCCTGTTTCAGCTTATGATGAGAGCCAGGATCAAGTTCCCAGTCCGGTGAGGCTTCAGGACTTGGAGTGAGGCATGGGGACCAGAGCAGCAAGCAGCTGTATCCTCTCCTAACAAGCCAGGGGAGAGCCCTTCCAGAAACCCAGTGGGAGGCAAAGGTGGGTGCCCAGCAAGGCCGCCCAGTGAAATGTCACTGTTAGCTCCCTGTTTCAGCTTATGATGAGAGCCAGGATCAAGTTCCCAGTCCGGTGAGGCTTCAGGACTTGGAGTGAGGCATGGGGACCAGAGCAGCAAGCAGCTGTATCCTCTCTTGGAGGACACCTGTGAGTACTGGTAGAGAGAGGCCACATAGCAGGTAGTGGGGTCAGTCCCCTTCCGTCATCCTAGAGATGTCTGTAGGGGCATTGTCAGGACAGCAGGACATCCTGACGACTGTGGCAGTTTAAGAGCAGAGCTCCTGTAGGCAAATCAGAAGGGTTCCCTTGCCATACTCTGGGCCTTCTAAAGCCCAGCCGACCAGCACACGGGACCTTTACCTGAAGTGTCCTCAGCCTCAGGTGCTGTGTGGCATAATGACCCAGAATATTGTAACTACCTGCATCCTTCATACAGACCAACATGACTTGGTTTTCCTGGAGGGAGTCAGGAATGGCTTGGTCTGCGAGTGTATGGCGGGCAGCAGAAATTCCCATTAGCACCAGACAGAACCAGGCCCCCAGGCCTGGGCTACAGGCACCTTTCTTCCCCTCCTGCAGGAATTTATCTTGGTACTTGTACCCTTCAGGACCCAGCAGTCTGGGGGCAGGTAGCATGATGTTCCCCAGTTTTCAGGAGGCTCAGGAGATTTCCTGAGGGGAATAGCTCCAGATCAAGCCAGGTTCAGGGCACAGGGATCTGTGTGGTATGGCCTGGCTGGAGCAATAAAGGAGACTTAACAGAGGGTAAGGGGCAAGGGCTCAGGTGGGGGTGAGCATAGGAATGGCTCATGGTGGTGAATGCCCTGCCCTGTCCTGAGTGGGATGACAGTGGGCCAGGCAGCTGTGGGAAAATTCCAGATCACCACCCTTGGAATCTGGCTGTTTGCAACACTTGGGCTTAGAGGCCCAAGAAATGTCCAGTCTAGAGGATGCTTCCTGCTAACTTCTGTGTCGACCACAGCCAGGCCATGGCCCTGATGTATCTATGGGCCCCTGGGCTGGGTCACACTGTGATGGGACTGGCTCACTGTGGGACCTTCATGCCCCCAGGCCTCAGTTTCCCCGTCTACTAAATAATTTATAAAGTCCTGTTGCCTTTTTCCATATAAACACCCTTTGAACATTTCCCAGAGGTTTGAGCATCTTTCCAGATGTGCTTTCTGTGACCTGTGGCATTGTTCCAGACAGACAGGCCAGGGCTGGCTCCTCTGTGGCCTGTGTTGGACACCCAGGCTATGCCCAGTTTGGAAGGACATTCCTGCCTTCCTGTCCTGCAAGAAGTCCTCCTAGCTCTCAGCCTCCTTCCCTAACCCTAACCTCAGTCTTGCTGAGGCCTTGTCTACACCTGCATGGGCCTTTGAGGCAGAGCCTAGTCCTGCTGAGTCCCAACACTGAATACTCAGAAAGGTTTGCTGACTGATCTGTGACCAGGGGAGGGTGAAGGGAGCACACGGGGGCGGCGGGGGGCGGCGGCAGCAGCAAGTTCCTGATGCAGACTTTTGGCCTCTTGAGAAAACTGGTGCCTTGAACAGCCCTTGGGTCGGGAGTCTGCGCCTTCCCTGGCCCAAGCTACTGGGGCAGTGATCTCTGTGTGTAGCTGAGAGGGCACTCTGACACCCAAGAGGCCTAGGAAGAAGGGAAAGCATCCCAGAGGCAGGCCCTGCGCTGCTCCCCCACTGTGGGAAGCCCCAAGAGTGTGCTGCCCGGGCAAGTCCCCAGACAGGTACCTAGCTCCAGAACAGGTGAACTGCTGAGGCCTACTCGGGCGGACTCAGGCTGTAGGTCTGGCCCACCAGGAAGGTTTCCCATTGTCATCTCGGAGATGTCTAGCAACCCTCACCCTAACCCTCTGGTGGAGGCTGCTTGCTTGTCCCCTGGAATCCCAAGACTGTCCAAAGCACAGACCTGCAGGCTCAGGAAAGATAGCACATGTTCTAAGGATGGCCTCACTGAGTTGTTGTTTTTTTTTTTTCCCCAGGCCCTGGGGTCCCCTCAGCTGCTCATACAGGCTGAGGTAGGATCCCTTGGAGGTCAGTGGTCATTTCTGCTGCTTCCTGAGGACCCAGGAAGACAGTGAAAGCAGTGCCTGGCTGTGGACTCCAGGCGTCATGTGGAATGGGCTCCACCAAATCAGAGGGCTTCATGGAAGAGGAACTCCAGCAAGACCAGGGGGCTGAACCCAGAAACCTCCAGGCGGGGACCGGGCCTACAGGAAGCTGTCACCATGCCCGCTCTGTTTAGGGGACATGGGCTCTGTAAAGGGTTGAGGACCTGGCCAGGCCTCAGTGTCTGCCCAAGCATGCACCCTGAGCTTCCTAGGCTCTTAAGCATCTGGACCCAAGGACCCCTGCAGAGCTGGGGGAGGGGAGCTTCCACCCTGCTTGGCCCCCTGCCCACTTCAGCTCAGAACTTTCTCCAAAAAGAAAAGTCCCCAGGGTACGAAACTGTAAAGCTCCACCCCTTGGGCTCTGTACCAGCTCAGCCTTCACCAGCCTAGGGCTGAGTCACTGGGAGGCCGGCTCCTTCC